AACGTGTACTTGTCACCCCTGCACACACATTAAATTCATAGTTGCTGCTTTCAAGGGCAAAGAAATTTCAATGTTTCTTCATTTCTGACAATATGAAGAAAGACAAAAGTAGGATACGATACAACAAAAGTCAAACCGTAACACGTTTTAAGAAAAGAAAATCACTACCACTAGCATGTTGTAGCATCTGTAGTGTTAAACTAAACCTGCTCCAACCTCTGATCTCATTACAGATCCTACTTCTCAAAGGGCTTTTTCTGTCTGTGATGAAAACTGAGCTGTAAAATTATTGAAGTAGGGATTTAGAGATTTGGCACAACAATCTTCGTAATAAAAATGGCACAAGTGGGACCCTTCTTGCTATTGTTACATGTTAAATCTTATTTGATTGATTTGCCTGTATTCCAAATTGCAAACATAAGGTAGAAGGTTGTAATTATAGTTTTATTGATTGATCATTAAGTTTTAATCAAGCTGTTGCTACAGGGAATGGTTATTATTTTGGCAGTGTTCTTTTGTTTCTAAGTTTCCTTCATAGTTGCTTCAAGAAAGTAACTGCGGCTATATTCAGTATCAATAAAATGTTATTATTTCTAAGGAATCTGTAACATAATTACCATATATCAAAGCAAATGTGTTACAGAATAATGATTGCACTAAAGTATTTCTTATTATCTCTAGGTTTCTATACCTTTGGGATCACTGACAGCTATAAATGTTTTCCATTCCTATTTCTTTTTATTTTACAAATGAAAATGTATCTCCTCCAAATTCACCTGTTAGTTTATCTTAATTTTAGCAACCATACTTGCATGAATCGGAAATCAAAAGTTTATCTTCTATGAGACTGAAACAGGTTACTAAAACAAGAAAAGAGTAATATGTATATAAGTATTTACTAAGAAAACTGAAACTGAATGGCTTCAGGAAGTTTTTTTTTTTAGTTCAAAAATTATTAGAGCATCAGATCCAATATATCCACAAACTTCACAAATTTGGCAAACTTCTCAGCATACCAAACCATAACTGAATTTAAAGTCCACTTAAGGTCAATATTGGCAGGGTACAGTGGCTCATGGCTGAATTACAGTATTTTGGAAGGTCACAGTGGAAGAACTGCTTGAGGGCAGGAGTTCAAGACTAACCCGGGCAACATAGTGAGACCCCATCTTTACAAAATTGTTTTAAAAAATTAGCCAGGCATGGTGGTATTTGCAACACCACCATGTCCAGGTAGCTACAGTCCCAGCTACACAGGAGGCTAAAGTGAGAGGATCAAGTGAGCCCAGAAGTTAGAGGCTACAGGAGCTATGATCACACCACTGCACTCTAGCCTGAGTGACAGTGAGACCCCACCATTCATTCATTTGTAAATATGTGTGTGTGTGAACATCAAGAAGTACTTCATGTGCAAAGTCTTCAATCTATATTCCCAACTGTCCTCTTAGGTTTCTCTAGGAATTGCCATGCCTGGTAGCACACACCTGTAGTCTCAGCTACTGAGGATCCCTTGAGGCCAAGAGTCTGAAGCCAACATGGGCAAATTACCAAGAGCCCAGCTCCATGAAAACTATAAACAGGTGTTTGATATTTTGGCCTTACCAATTCAGGGACCAAGAAACCCCCAAGAGACACAATCGAATAAGAATGTCCTTATCTGTTTTAACTCCAGTCTCATGAATACTTGTTTCTTAATCTAGAGTCTACCTACCCCACCTCCCATGCCTAACCGTCCACATGCCAAATGTTATGACATCATATTTGGTAATCTTAAAAACTTTGAGCCTTTTTCCAAGGCTCCAATTTTTTTAAACATTAGTTACAAATATTAGGAGCATTTGAATTTTTTAGAATTACAGTATTTGTAGAACAGGACTTTCTACCAATAAAAGATACACGATTAACATGAGAAATCTATAGCTACTATTTGCCCTACCTATTATATCACTTTTTATTTTCTTGGACAGAAAGTTTATAAACTGAAGAAAGCCTGCCCTTCAACATGGCAAACTAGCTTTCAGGAAAGATAGCCCCATGTGAAATGAAGTGGCCAGGTTCTTTTTTTTGCTCGTTGCTCTCAACAACGTATCAACAAACATAAGTATATCTACTTCAAACTAACTGCAAGTAATGAGACTGTGATGTCAGAACATAACCATCAAAAATAATTTTAAAAAGAAATGAACTACTGACAGATGCTACCACACGGATGAACCTGGGAAACACCACACTAGCTGAAAAAAGTCAGTAACAAAAGGCCACATATTGTAGGATTCCATTTATATGAAATGTCCAAATGAGGCAAATTCAGAGAGACAGAAAGTAGACTACTGGTTGCCTAGGGGTGGGGAGGGTGGGGTGAAATGGGGATTGTGACTGCAATGGGTAAGGGCTTCCTTTGGGGAGTGATGAATGTTTTAAAATGGAGTCTGGCAATGGTTGTACAACTCTGTGACTATGGTGTAAACCACTGAGTTGTACACTTTAAATGGGTGAATTGTATGGTGTGTCAACTATGTCTTAATAAAGCTGGTTTAAAAAAATTATCTCCTTTATGTTAATTTTTACTTTTCTGTTACCTCTTTTTTCCATATCTCCAATCCACTATATTCTTAAGCAAGGAATATTAGGTTACTAAGCAGTTTGTAGATTCTCGTTCAAACTTTCTAAAGAAAACAAGTGCATCAGAAACCAATTCACAATATAACACAATTTTTTAATGTAAATGTTATAAAGGCTAATTCATTTCCCAAGTTTTCTACGTAAACATATACCATTACTGTTCTAATTACAAAGAAAAACGTGATTTGCTAAAAGGCTTACAAACTTAAGACTTTTTCTTCACTGTGTTGTCCATTCCCATTATGCCCATCGCAAGGCTGGGGGGTTAATAGGACTGCATGACTACCAGCCTGTGTGATTTGAAAATAACACGAATAAGCAACAGACAAGGCTGTCCCTCAGTATTGTGCAGAAAGGGTAGGGAGAACGGTAAGTTAATAAGGGTTATGAAGAAACTTTTATTTGTATTACACATTTCTCTTCTGCATTAGTTTTGAGGTGTTTATTTAAAAAACACAAAACATAACCATATTTATGATTTCGGTTTAAAAATATCACTTTCGGCCAGGCACAGTGGCTCATACATGTGATCCCAGTACTTTGGAGAGGCTGAGTCAGGAGGATACATGAGGCTGGGAGTTCGAGACCAGCCTGGGAAACATAATGAGACCCCCATCTCTTCAAAAATAAAAACAAAAGTAAGTATCACTTATACTTAGCACTTACAGTATTGTGTTCTACTTCAACTGAAATTATTTACAAAAGAGTCTGCTTTTTAAACACATGGTAGGAACAGACTATTTTTTGTCAGTTTCCAATTTTACTTCATGATAATGACACAGCAAATAATCTATAATGACACAGTCTCTGCAGTACTCAATAAAGCTTGCCCTGTGGGCTATTATTTTTATTAAAGTTCCGATTATGCTTGAAAAAAGTTGATCTAGTTGGGTGCAAAGTTTTATATGTATCAGCAGACCAGTCTTGCCACGTGTTGTTCAAATCTTCTATGGCCTTAATAAGTTTATGCCCACCTGTCCTTAATGCTTTGAGACAGAGATGTGACTATCTCCAACTAAGACTATAGTTTTGTTCATTTCTCCTTAAAATTCTGCCAGTTTTTGCTTTGTATGTTTTGAGACTATGTTATTCAGTACAGGTTCAGGTTTGTTACAGCTCCTGAAATAACTGTTCCTGTATCATTATGCACTGGTCTCTGTTTTTTGCCTTAAGTATTTTTTCCTAATATTATGCCACAAACTCTTTTTCAATTAGTATTTCTCTATCAGTTAAGGTTTCATTACTGTTAGTGATAAGGATAAGGATTATAGAGATCTGAGCAGCAATTATGGGTGCTAATTAAGCAGTTTGTATAAGGCTGTTGCTTCTGCATCTAGTGTTTGGATAGAAATCAAAAGGCAGGAGGCCAGGCGTGGTGGCTCATGCCTCTAATCCCAGCACTTTGGGAGGCCTAGGTGGGAAGATCATCTAAGGTCGGGAGTTCGAGACCAGCCTGACCAACAAAGAGAAACCCCATCTCTACTAAAAATACAAAATTAGCCAAGCATAGTGGCACATGCCTGTAATCCCAGCTATTTGGGAGGCTGAGGCAGGAGAATCACTTGAACTAGGAGGCGGAAGTTGTGGTGAGCCGAGATAGCACCACTGCACTCCAGCCGGGGCAGTAAGAGCAAAACTCTGTCTCGAAAAAAAAAAAAGTGATATGGTTGCTCCTGCTGTTTCTAAGAAATCAACGGGCAGGCAACAGGGAAGGAAAGATGGATGTGAAGTGGAGGAAGAACAAGGACAGACTAGAACACACATTTATTTCTCACCAGCTTGTGAGAGAACTTGCAGCATAAGCTGGCGCCCTGCATCACAGAGCCCACAAATCTGACCTAGAATTTGGGGAAGCTGATGGAGAACAACCAGTGGGAGCCAGAGGAGCTGGAAGCCAAATGCCAACACAGTAATACAGCAAAGTCAGTGACCGGGCATGTGAGTTCCAACAGTGCCTGACCATGTGCCAACCTTCTGAGCATAAACACAGCAGCTGCTTCACTTCTACCTTACAAAGAACATGCAGATTTCTCTTGTGGCTGACCCAAACTGAAACTACTTCAGAAGGAAATTCTGGGAAATGCAGTTTCAGCTCAGTTGTGCTGATACAATACAAAGCTGTCAATTCTCATGGATACCTTCTCCTACCTCTTTTTCTTTTTTCCATATAATTATGTTTTAGATCCATCTCTTTTAGTTGCCAGTTTCTATCTTTTAACTGTCATATGTAATCCATTTTTACATTTGTTAGCATTTATGACTTTCATAATTAAAAAATATTTTTAAAAAATGAAATATGTACTGAAAACATATGCATGACTTGCATTTCTGAAGTATTTTATACACATGGTATATATTTGTAAGTATTTCTTACTTACCACTTCTCCAGCAGAGGCAGCCAACATATGCTTCATAGGTGTCAAATATGAAGATGAATCAGTATGCAAAAACCACTTCACATATTCATAGGTGATAAAAAATGCAGCAGCTGAAATTTAAAACAAGCCAGTCTTTGACAAAGTTTAAACACATATATTCAAACTGTTAAGAAACATGTTTCTCAAAAGGTATGACAATAATTACTGAATTATGAGATAATAGAAAAGGTGATAAGCACGTATCTTTTTTTCCTACTCCCCACTCTTTCAGAATTTACTGAGACCATGTTATATGCCTCATCTTAGAATTTAAAAAATGCAGAAAATATAATGCCTACCCTGTGGGAGCACACAAGCTAATCCAGCACTTACCAATTATACTGAAAAATTACTTAAACATTTTTAAAGTCAACATTAGAAAAGGATATGAATTTCTATGATCCTTGTGGCCATAAAACAATCAACTACATTGATAAATACACAGGTTAAAATTACAAACATACAATTTAACTTAAAGAAAATGTCTATTCTATAACGTTTTACTGCTGGTTACACAAAATAACCATGGCTATTTTTTTACTGCATAAATTCACCTTTACATCAAGAAAACGATCAACCATTTAATTAAAACTGGAAATCAAAATCTCTAAAAAGCTACCCCATCACCATGAACTGATCCTAGCTGCCCCTGAGGGCTTTTAAACTTTCTATGTACTGTTAATCAATATATGTTTATCAGTTGGATAAAAGATAAGGCACAAGAGATAAAGCAATGACAAAATCATTTTCTGAAGGACATTTCAACATGTCACAGTTAAAGTCTGAAACACTGAGGAAAACAGCTTGATAGGGAAAATCAGTTCTCCAAAGCAACAATCTTGTAAAGGATGATCTTCACATGTTAACAAATATACACTAGGCCAAATGAAGAGGCACGCCATCCATGAATAAATAATAACCAGTTCAGGCAGTTTTACATAGTTAACACAAGCCTATTCCCATTCGTGTTTCTTCATACGCTTTTCCCACTTCTGCCCACTCACTAAATGTGCAACTATAATACCTCCAATTGCATTCAGCGGTTGAGTTCTGCCACTATACATCCTACCCTCCTAACCCCCAGGAAAGGGAGAAAGACAGTGGTAAAACTTCCTCCATTTCATGGCTAACCACCTCAACCTCTTCTAACTTTATGGCTTCTTTTGTGACTACACAATCCCTTTAAGAATATAAGTTCCAGGTTCCAAACCTCACTCCATGTTTCCCCAGGGGCATCCAAGAAGGCCTCTACTAAATGTGGGTACAGTCAGGTTCCAAGTGGGGGCACTGAACAAGCTAAAGCAAAGAAAAGGGGCTGGGCTATCTGATAACTATAGTTTCTTCCAGCTCAAAAAGAATAAAAATTATATATAAAACATATATATATATGGTTTCTCTACATTCCCTTTGAAATAGGGAATAACACATAAGTCTTCTCTTCACCTCTTTCCATCTTTGGTACCAACCCCAACCCCTCACTTCTGCAGCACAGGTTTACAAAAACATCCACAGCCACTGATGATCAACTAGAGTGAAGCTCTGTACTCAGATTAGAACCTTAGCCAATAGCAAAAGAAAAGACACCACACACAAAAGTCCATTTCAATCAAAATTTGCAGTAAAAACAACACTAGTTTTGAAACCCTGGTAATTTGACTTTTCCCTAGCATCTTCCATTCACTGAAGTTTGGTGGATGGCAAAAAAATAAATAAATAAATTCAAAACCACATTTTAAATATAAATTCCTAAGAATGTAAAACCTGTGATCTTAATGACAGCACCATTTAACCTACACACTATAGCTAGTGGTACACCTTCCCACAATAATCTTTATGTGCAATATGTAAGAGAAAAAGATCTTTAGAACAATGAGTGTAAATGAAGGAGACACCATAAAAAAATGGTGACCAAAAGATAGGGACTTAGTGACACGTTTCTTTGCAATTCCCTAGTTTAGAGGTTCTCGAACTTGTCTAAATACAAGAATCATCTTGGGATTTTTTTAAAAAAAACATCCAATGCCCAGGTTATACCTCAGACCAATTAAGTCACAATCTCTGGGGTTAGGTGAGAAGGACCAGTACAGGTAATCCTTGAACGTGAGTTTAAATGCACAGGTTCACTTATACAAATATTCCAATATACAATAAATATATTGGCAGATTTTTTTGGAGATTCATGACGATTTGAAGCAACTTATATATGAACCACATAGCCTAGAAATATAAAAAAAAAAATTAAGGAAAGGCTGTCTCATTAATACATAAAATGTCAATACTAGCCTATTTTACCATTTCCTAACATAAAATATATTATAAAAAGTTAAAATTTATCAAAACTTACAAACACAAACCACAGATCACATCATTCATAGTTGAGAGAAATGTAAACAAAGGTAAAGAAGGGCCAGGCACAGTGGCCCACAACAGTGATCCAGCACTTTGGGAGGCTGAGGCTTGAGCTCAGGAGTTCAAGACCAGCCTGGGCAACATGGAGAAACCCTGTCTCTACAAAAATAAATAAATAATTAGCTAGGTGTGGTTACCCATACCTGTAGTCCCAGCTACCTGGGAGACTGAGGCTGGGAGGTTGAGGTTGCAGTGAGCCAAGATCATGCCACTGCACTCCAGTCTAGGCAATGGAGTGAGACCTGGTCTCAGGGAGAAAAAAAGAGAGGTGTAGTGCTAAATCAAAAACTGCATAAAATTAACTGTAGCATATACTGTACTACTGAGGTATCTCTGAGCCACCTCCTCTTGCTATAATGAGTTCAGGTGTTGCCAAGTAGCCACTTAAAAATGCCATGTGACACTAATTATCTCCAGAAGAGCAGTTCATCTCCCCCAGTAAATTGTGTATCACAGTACAAAGGATCTCTCCCAGTTCTTATGTATTTTTTGTTGTGGTTAGTGCCATACCACAAACTCTGAATAATGCCATAGGACCCATACAAAGTGCCACTAGTGATGCGAAAAGTCATGACATTACAAGCAAGCTCCTAAGAAGCAGAAAGGAGTCATGACATTATAAGAAAAATTGCTTGTTAGATACTACAGACTGAAATCTGAAGCTGCAGCTCACAACCATTTCAGGATGAAAGAATCCAGCTTAATTTATTGTATATTTAAAAAAAAAAAAAGGAAAAAAATAGAAACTCATTAACCCATCTCTGTAGCTTTGCAAAGTAACTTTTTTCTTGTTTTGAAAATGCAGCTTTTATGTGGGAATAGAATTGCTATAATAAAGGCATATTTATTATTATCCCTAAAATGATTTGAGAAAAAGCAAAGTAATTTCTTGACAAAAGAGAAAGGTAAAGGATCTAAAGCTGAAGGATTTAATGCCAGCCAAGGATGGTTTGATAATTTGGCTTAAAAATGTCAAGGTAACAGGAGAAGCAGCTTCTGCCATCCATCAATCAGTAATCAAGTTCCCAGCTGCCATTAAGTAAATCACTGAAGAGAAAGGAAATCTGCCTGAATAGGTTTCTAATATAGATGAAAGTGCCCTATTCTGGGAAAAGAAAAATGTCACAAGGACATTTACTAGCAAGGAAGAGAAGCAAGCAAATCCTTCACAGTATTCATGACAGAGCCAATCAAGAAAACCATAAAAGAGATTGTGGATGTGGAAAAATAAAAGTTGGGGGTGAAGGGTTTCAAAATATAGATCTTAAAGAAATTCAAGAGCTAACAGATACCACACCAGAAGACTTAACAGAAATCAACCTGGTGGAGATGACTGCTTCCAAACCAGCGTCAAATAATGAGGGGGAAGATATAGAAGAAGTGCCAGAAAATGACATTAGACAATCTAGCAGGAGGGTTCTGATTATTAAAGACTGCTTTTGATTTCTTTTATGACAAGGACTCTTCTACAATATGGGCACTGAAACTAAAGCAAATGGTGAAAGCATTGCTACCACATAGAATCATTTTTAGAGAAAAGAAATAGCAAAAAAGTGACAGAGAAATTATGATTTATTTCCATAAAGATACACGATGTGGGCCTGCTTCTCTTGCCTCCCCTTCTACCTCCTCTACTTTTTCTGCCTCTGCCACACCTAAGACACAAAGACCAACTCCTCTTTTTCCTCCTCCTCAGCCTACTCAACATGAAAAACATTGATGACCCACTTCCACTTAGTGAATATACATTTTCTCTTCCTTATTGTTTTCTTAATAACATTTTTTCTCTAGCTTACTTGGTTGTAAGAATGCAGTATATAAAACGTTTGCCAGGCACAGTGGCTCAGGCCTATGATCCCAGCACTTTGGGAGGCCAAGGCAGGCGGATCACATGAGGTCAGGATAACATGGTGAAGCCCGGTCTCTACTAAAAATACAAAAATTAGCCAAGTGTGGTGTTCTGTGCCTGCAATCACAGCTACTTGTGAGGCTGAGGCAGGAGAATCACTTGAACCCAGGAGGTGGAGGCTGCAGTGAGCTGAGATCGCGCCACTGCACTCCATGGGTGCCACAGCAAGACCCTGTCTCAAAAGATAAGAATAAAAAATAAAACATACAACACATAAATATATGTTAATATGTAACACACATACAAAGTATGTGTTAATCAACTATTTATAATATCAAAGGCAGCAACATGCTATCAGCAGTTAAGTTTTGGGGGAGTCAAAAATTATATTCTGATTTTCAGCTGCACAGGAGAGGTCGGCACCCCTGCCCTCCAGGTTGCTTAAGGATCAACTGTATTTCTTTAAGCTCTTCAGTAATCAGGTGATTTCAAAGTGGACAAATTTGGGAACCCATGCCCCTTTCCCACACTTTATGCTTGGCATGCAGTGGAAGCTCAATAACAACTTGTTACAATTACTCAAATATTAATATATACAAAAAGTCAAGGATGCCCAAAAGAGTTTGCCAGGTCTAATGATAGCCGGGGAATGGGGAGGAGCAGGAGGAAAAAAAACCAGAAATAAGATTTTTCTCTTTGCACTACAAATCTTTATGTAAATGTTATGCTCACAGATTGAACACTTAAATGTCAGCTTAAGAGCAAAAATTTCTTGCCAGGCGCGGTCGCTCACGCCTGTCATCCCAGCTCTTTGGGAGGCCGAGATGGGCGGATCACGAGGTAAGGAGTTTGAGACCAGTCTATCAAACGTAGTGAAACGTCTTTATAAAAAAAAAAAAAAAAAAAAAGAGTAAAAATTTCTCATGAATTATCCCGCAAAAAAACAGAAGCAAAGCCCAGAATTTAAGAGTCTTCTAGAGCTGTGGTTTTGTGGGTGTGTCTTATGTGTGATTTTTTTATTGCTTTAGTTTACTTCTGAATGCCACTAGAGGCATCCAACAGTAAACAAGTAAGTATCTGCAAACATTATAACAAGAAGCAGATTAAACAACACAGATTATACTGACTAAAGAATAAGAGGGTCGTTAAGTCACGTTACTTCATAACCAAAACAAAAGATGCTGGAAGGAGAGTATCCAGGAGAGCAATAGTGAGACACACTTGCATCATCTAAGAGTGACTTAATTAGGATAGAAATCTTTAATGCCTCTTAGGTTCACCTGCTCTCTAAGACCTCAAAGCAGCTATCATCAAACTTGGCTTCACGCTGTAGTCACCTGGGAAGTTATTAAAACTTATGATACCCAGATAAAACCTAGACTAATTAAAATTCTAGGAGTGACACAGGACATCAGTATTTTTTAAGGCTTCCCAATAGATTCTAATGTGCAGGCAAAGTTGAGAATGATTGTTCTGAGGAATCACAACATTAAAATAATACTTTAAGCATTCTAGCTGGAAACTTTAACAACAAAAACCATTTTTAAAAGATTGCTCTTTTTTCCCTATTACAAATATATTGAAATGGAATCTGTAACACTCTCTGATTCAAAAATAATGAGTTAGGCCCGGCACAGTGGTTCATGCCTATAATCCCAGCACTTAGGAAGCCCAAGGTAGACAGATTGCTTGACTCTAAGAGTTTGAGAACAGCCTAGGCAACATGGCAAAACCCATTCTCTACAAAAAATACAAAAATTAGCTGGGTATAGTGGTGCACCCCTGTAGTCCCAGCTACTTACGGGGCTGAGGCTGGAGGGTTGCCTGAGCCCAGGAGGTCAAGGTTGCAGTGAGCTATCATCTCACCACTGCACTGTCACCTGGGTGACAAAGTGAGACCCTGACTTAAAAAACAGTAATACATAATAACAGGTTAAAAAAGGAAATTCAGAAGATAAGCTTCAACACAAGGAATTCTATGTGGGGTAAGACCACACACCATTCTGAAAATTCCATTTTATCTTGGCTTTACAGAAGTGAGAATAGCAATATAATATTTTACCATTAGGGAAGGATCCAATAGCAGCAGAAGGAACACCAGCATATATTCCTTGAAAACCACCAGCCTTATTAAATCCTTGAGGACTCTGCAGCCTGGTTTTAATAGTATCCAGAGGAAATAATATCAAGTCAACAGAAACCCCTGCTAATCCACCAGCCTTTGAAAAAAAAAGAGGGGGAGAGAAAAAGAAAAAAAAAGTTACAACAAAATAAGCTCTCTGCCACTTGGCGGCAAGGACAGGAAGAAGGCAGTCTTTAAAACGCATTTCTCATTCTTTTCAAACCACAACTTCTGTGGCCTTCAAACCTAAATCTAGACGTTTTCCTGGGAAAATAGCTATATTTTCAAGTTGTAAATTTTATATTTTCTTTTTAAATTGATTTTTAATGCAAAAATTTTTAAACAAAATTTAAATTCATTGTTAATACAGTACTTACATGGTTCAAAAAGCTAAAACTAATGTTTTAGAAGAAGCCACATGTAGTGGCTCATGTCTCCCAGCATTATGGAAGGCAGAGGAGGGAGGATCACTTGAGACCAGGAGTTCAAGATCAGCCTATGTAACATAGTGAAACCTCATCACTGTAAGAAATAAAAAATTAAGCTGGGCATTGTGGCACATACCTATAGTTCCAGCTACTTGGGATGCTAAGGAATAAGGATCACTTGAGCCTGAGAGTTCAAGGGTTCAGTGAGCTATGATCATGCCACTGCACTCCAGCATATGTGACAGAGCAAGACCCTGTCTCTTAAAAATAAATAAATAGCCAACAAGAAGAGAAAGGTAAAGAGTTCAAAGTTTCCTTCCAACCCTCTTCCTAATAACTCAGGTAACCACTTTATTGGTTTCTTGTTGTATCCTTCCAAAGTTACTTTAAACATATATAAGCAAGTATGAACACATAGTTTCCTTTTCTTTAAAAAGATGATGTACAATATGCACTATTCTGTACTTTTTTAAAAACAATTTATCCTGATCTTTTCACATCGGACCAAAAGTTTTATTATTGCCTTAACTAATAAGCAGTGAATCTGAAATTGACTTCTTTGAGATTGAATTTTGAAACAGCTTATGATCCCTGTGAATCTGGATCTGTATTTTAAGAAACACACATCTAAGGATTCATACAGTATTCTCTCCACTTAAAATGTATTTGACAATTCCTTGATAATTTTTAAATTGAGAATAAATTTTTTTAAGGAGCTAAATTACTACAGGAAATTAAAATCCGGCCCAAACTAGTCATCTCCCAAGAGATGCCATGATGTTTTGGAGAAGCTGTACTTTAAAAACTAATTCCTGCTAAATGGATTTTGGGGGAAAATGATTAAGAAATAACTCTGTACCCCATGATTATAGTGAAGTATATCTAGAATATTTTAAAACTGGTTACACCTTAGTCAAAGAAAACAGAAATTGAGAAAATATAAACACAAAGAGCATCAAAGCAAGGTTAATACATATGAATCCTTACATGTGTGATTATTAAAATATAGATCTAGATTCACCAGGATGATTAGTTGCTCCAAAATGCGGGTCTCAAAAAAGTCAATACAGTTGCACTACCTATTAGTTAAAAAGACAAAAACATAACATTTGTTCTGATACAAAAAGATCACACAGATCTAAAGGCATCATTTAAAGATGTGAGTCATAATCAGTTTACAGTAGGCAGACAGAAGCACTATAAAGAGGAAACTGCTTCCTACATACTAATTTTTTAACTGAATTGCTAGGTTTTGCTGTATTTTGAATACTGAACCATGTGAATACATTACCTATTCAAAAAGTTAAAATATACATTTTTAAACTATACATTTCATGACAAAGGAAAAGAAAACAACCAGTATTATTCAAACATACAAGCCAAGTTCAAATTGATTGATTGTTTCCATCCTTTGAGTTTACAAAAGTTCATGTGCTACAAAGCTTGGTACCTAGCAAATACTATCTGCTTTACTTACCACTCACCATAAAACCATCCTAGAAGTTAAATGGAAAAATGAAATACTTTAATGATAAATCCGATACTATTTTCAAATTAATTAACACAGGTTAATTATAAAAAATTAATTTACAATAGATAAAAGTACATTACTACAAGTTTAATACTATACTTTATGATCAGCCCAAAGACATGAAAGAAACCCAAAGACCCTAAAGTTCTACTCTGCAAATGACCTAAGAAGACATCCCTCAAAATGGCACAGAGATGTGCCAGGAGAGAAACCAAGCAGTACCAAGAGAATATCCAATAATGTGGGATTTCTTTCTGGATATAAAGGTAGCCTTTCCTAAGTCATGGGAAAAAGTTCTCAAGTAATGTAGGAAAGTAAAAAGGCCACTCTTCAAAACTCTTCTTGTTTCAGGATTTTTATAAAATTCAGTAAGTAGAGACAGGCATGGTGGTAGGTACTTGTAATTCCCGCTACCTGGGAGGCTGAGTCAAGAGTCTGAGATTATAGTGAGGTATCATTGTGCCCTTGAATAGCCACCATGCTCCTGCCTGGGCAACACAGGGAGACCTCATCTCTAATAATAATTTGGTAAGCAAATATTTTGCCTCCCTCCTCATTTTCTCAAAATACAGAGCGAATAAAATCCTGGTGAGAATGTTTCATGTCACTAGATTATTTTAAAACATGCTGCGCTTCACCTAATTTTCTCTTTAATCTTAGGATTCAGAGAAGTGCTATCTACTGCTAAATTTTAATCAATAAATTAATTACTCTTTTAATTTAGTTGGCTGCTTTACATATATTGATTCTCTAACCCTTCTTTCATCAGAATTCTTATCGTCCAAGGAAACTAAATGACCAGATTCAATCTACTTGTCTCAAGGATTACTAACCACTTCTATGGATTTCAAACTTCTATATAACTCAAATGTCGTTTAAATTCATGAGACAAAAAAAAAAAATGAACTAACAGACAAACTGAAGAATAAGAATATCTATATTAGCCACACAACCACGTATTTCAGATTTAGATGAAAATTTTAAGGAAAGTCTATAATCAGTATTGTTTTGTATGTAATGATGTACAAAATATGTAAGCCAATAACAACCTAATTATAAAAAACTCTAACAAACTTTCATTGCTCAGCCTGAAAATTTTATTTTGTTATAATCATTTATCAGAAGGTTATCAGGCAAGTGATTAGATTCATAATTTATGGTAGCTTATACTGAAAAATTCTAACAACTAGGGAAAAAATTCAAAGAAATAGAACATAACCCAGATAACCAGCAAACCTTACTAGAGCATCACAATGTATTGAGATCTCAGAATCATATAGATAAAATACATGTCTCTACCTTAAGTTAAAAAATGTATGACATTCCAGGCTGTAGAGAGGAAGCGCCTAATTATTGCTCTGCAATTACACGGAGAAGTGAAAGGTCAGAATTACATGCCATAAAACTTTTTTTCTCAAAAGGAGGAGGGCACACCACCACAAAAAAAGCATCACTGCTCCCCTCTAGGACAAAACGAAACCATCTGTGTAATGTAACTAAGCAAAATCAACACAGGCCACTGGCCTAAACGACAGCTAAGAACCAGCCATAATGAGGGAAGGTGCTCTCTTTTCGGTCCATGAGGGGGCGTAGTTTTAAGAGCAAGAATTTCCCAGTGCCATGCCCCGCTCCCATCTCTCTCCGTCTGGGAGATTTAAGGGTTTATGTTTGAATTTCACCAGCGCAGGAAGAAACTAAGAGTCAATCACTCCAGCGGAAGTTTAAAGGAACTCCTTTCATTGGCCAGAGGAACTTGGAAAGGTGGGAATTTCTCCCAGGATAAATTCCTCTGCTCCTTCACTGGCACCAGATTTCCAGCTCTCTGGAATCCCCTCCCACATGGTGGGAGCTCCCTTTCCCCTCTCGGATTTTCCCCTCTGGAATCCCCTTCCACACTCTTCATGGAAGTCTCTCTTCTCTTTTTTCTACCTAAATAAAATCACCTTTCTGGGACACTTCTTGGGTCCGATATTTACTTTCACGAGCATATGGCACAACTGCAGCGGTCCCATCGCTTATTCTTTAAGAGACTGGAGATCAAGAACCCACAGCATTCTCTCGGGGGAGCTGTGCCTCATCAGCACCCAAGAAAAAAACCCGGTTACAATAACATTAACGTGGCTTCTCAGGGGAAACATTCCCCTGACATGCTCATTTTCTTCCACAAGGAAGTGGCCACCCATGAGGTGAACCACCATCTTCCTCACTGCAGAGCTGCCACCTCTGCTTTCTGACATACTTGTCCCCTTCCCTACTTCTCATTCACTCTCCCTGCAGTGCTCGCTGCCTCTCTGTATTAATCATTCTCATAAAAATGCAAATTTCATCTTGCCACTCTCCAGCCTATAAATCTTTCAAACTTTCCAACAACGAGGATGAAAAAGAAAACCCTAGCTCCGCCTGTAAGATCCTGGAAGCTCTGGAGCCCCTCCACCTCCCAAAACTTGCACCAAGTGCCCTTTGCTCAGTCCTTTCTTGCCACCTGGATCTTTTCCTCTAAATCATCCAATCCTCCACATTTCAAGGACTTTGTACAGGTGCCCTCTGATCTCTAGTTCAGGTTTAGAGTTTCTTGTTCCAAGCACCAGACACAATTTTAATTACATAGTTTTGCCTCTGACCATTTGTTCAGGACCTGTCCAATTAAACCATAAGATCTGTATCTGTTTTGTTTACTAATATGTTCCCAGCACCAGCACATATTAATAGGAGGCACTCAATGGCTCTAATAATAAAATAAAGGGTTACTATTTCTATTTTAGAAGGCATTACAAATCAATCTTAAAAAGGTACCTTTAATTTTTCTCAAAAATAGCAAAAGACAGGACTAGGCAATTCACAAAAGAAAAATATAAATGACATAAATATGAAAATATGCTTCCTCATCATTAGTCATCAAATAAAAACAAAATATTTTCCCAATTAAATTGGAAAAAATTAAGAATATGAAGAATGGGTATGGGCACTATTGAAAAAACATTACCATAATCTACTGGAGGGCAATCTGGCAAAATGAACATTTTAAATTAACAAACACTTTGATCCAGTTATTTTATTTCTAAGCATTTCTTCCACAAAAATAAGTGCACAAATATACAAGAATGTCTACTACGGCATTTCTGTAATAGGAAAAAATTG